AGAGGAAGACAGAGACAAAGAAGTGCTAATCCGGAAGAATTCAGGCACAGAGAGAGACAGACACGGAAGAGAGACAGAGACAGAACAACGCAAGGGGCAGATGAAGACAGCAGAAGAGACAACCAGATACAGGAGAACACAAGACCCAGAGCCACCACATTGCAAGAGATAGCAGAGACAGAAGCAACAGAGAAAAATAGAAGCCAAACGGTCCAGAGGAGTTAAGGAGAGACAGTATACAGCAGTATGAGGCAGCAGCAGGCGGCTGTAGCTTCTGCTGCTCACCGCAGGTCTTCGCGCGAGGCAGAGAAGAGCTCCAGCTGTCTCTGACTGTCAGCAGCAGCAGCAGCAGCAGCAACAGAAGCATCAGCAACAGAAGGCTGCGGGATGAATGCGAGGAGACAAACGAACATCGGCGGAGACAAACGCGCAACAGCAGACAGGGGCAGGAAGGCTGTCCCCTCACTGTCCAAGCAGACAGCGGGTCCTCCTGCGAAGCACATGTACACTGTAAACCCTAAACCCTAAATCAGGAGAACCCCTCCAAAATATATCAATGCATTGAAGGGGTTCTGCTGCAGGAAGTTGCTGCTGATCTGCTGCAGCAGCAGTCCCCAGCAGCAGCAGCACCAGGTGACCTGCCAAAACACAACTTTGGCACGCCGGCAACAAACCCAGCAGCAGCAGCAGCAGCAACAACAAAAACAACAAACAAAAACAGCGGCATCAAATGCAGCAGCAGCAACAAAAACACCAAAATCAGCAAAAGCAGCAGCAGCAGACCTTCGGGGCACAGATGAGCCGCTGCTTGCTGCATGCCTGCAGCAGCAAGCGCGTGATTCCCCAGTCGGCCTAGCAGCGCCACGGGGACCCATTGAGGCAAGCTTCTGCTGCTGCTGCTGCTGCTGCTGTCAGCTCGGATCTTTGCTTTCAAGTGCTGTTGTGCTGCGAAGTCGGCAGCGAGATGGAAATGCTGAGAGGAAACCAACGGAGACAGAGCAGACAAACGGAGACAGAGTCACGGGGAGAAGACAAAGGCAGAAGGAGACAAAGACAGAAGCAGAAGCAGAAGCAGATACACACAGAAGGAGACAGAGACAGAGGGAGACAGATAGCTCAGCAGTGCAAATGCATGCAGGTCTGGTTGAATATATCACCTCTAAATAGGAGATGAAGAGAGAGGGGAGACAATTCGAGAGACAGAGACGAAGAACAAACAAATGCAGAGGGGACAGACACCCCACAGGAAGCATTTCATCGGTAGCCAAACACATATGCTTCTGCTGCTGCTGTTGCTGCTGCTGCTCTTGCTTCTGCTGCTGCTGTTGCTCTTTCTCCTGCTGTTGCTGCTTCCTCTTGAACAGGCAGCCAGCCTTTGCGAGCCGTTGCAACAGCAGCGCCAGTGCTGTATCATCAGGCTCCGTATGTGCTTCTACTGCTGTGGTCTCTGCTGCTGTTCCTGCTGCTGCTTCTGCTGCTGCAGCTCCTTCTGCTGCTGCTGTTTCTCCCCCAGCGGCCTCAAGAAAGAGGCCTCTGCGAGCCAACTGCTGCAGCAGCAGCTCGTCGATGAAGACAGACTCTCCCCTCTCTCTGCGTCTTTGCAAAAAAGACAAAATGCGGTTCAGCAGCAGCAGCCGCTTCCTCTTACTGCTGCTGCTGCTGCTGCTGCTTTTTGCAGCAGCAGAACCCACGAGCTTCAAGCGTCCCCACGGGTCGCATGCAATGCTGGGGTGTAGAGGCAGCTCCGCGACAGCCAGAGCGATGCCCCTCCAATCAAAGTGAAGGAGACAGAAAGAGAAAATGCATTTCCACGCGAGAGAGCTTTTCGGGCCCTCAGCAATGTCGAGACAGCCCGCAGCCACCTCCCACAGTGTGCGCACACCCTGCTGCTGCTGCTGTTGCTGCTGCTGTTGCTGCTGTTGTTTGCCGCTGCTGCGCCGGCTAGGAGAACGGAGTTTGTGGATGAGGGCTACGTGTCTCTCCTCTACAAATATCCGCAGGATATCGGAGGGCTTAAAGAGAGACAGCTCGAGGAGAGACAGACTGATATAACCCCCCAGAGACGCGTGCGTTGCTGCTGCTGCTGCTGCTGCTGCTCCTGGGTCGTTCGCAGGCGGCAGGGTCGTAAAGAGAGCAAACAAATCCTTCTCTGCTGCCAGCAGGCGACTGCACTCCGAGCAAGAGCCCCTGAAGCAGCAGCAGCAGGAGAGACACACAAATGCACTGCTACTGCATGCAGCTGCTGCATGCAATGAATCACATTCAGAGAGAATGCGGCCTTTGGTCTCGCTGAGGCCCCAGGAGAAAATAAAAAGGAGAGAAGAGACAAAATAGACAGTCAGCTAGTCAACCGCATACGATCTACTGTGTACAACAAGAGGAGACAGACAGACATCAGGAGACACAGAGGAGACAGGCGCAGCATGAAGCTGCAAAGGCAGACAGCAGAGAGGAAATAAAACAAAGAGACACAAGGGGGGGCCAACGGGAGAGGAGGCAAACAAAGTGTCTCCTCTCCCACATACACACAAAAAAATTTTTTTTTTGTTTGTCCTTGGTTTGCTGCTGCAGCCCTAAAAGGGCCGTACCGGAGGTTCGCTTGGAGGGTGGCAGCTTGATGCTGCTGCTGTTGCTGCTGCTGCGATGCTGCTGCAGCAGCCGCTGCCTGCTGCAGCTGCAGCAGATCTGCTTCGGCGTCGAGGGATACACCGCACGCGCGGTGTAAGCACACCGGAGCAGTGTCTGTTGTACCGCACTGCGACAGCAGCAGATGTTGCTGTTGCTGCTGCGAAACTTTGTTGCTGCTGCTGCAGTCGCGCCTGTTGGCATCGGGAGCAGCAGCAGCAGCAGCAGCAGCAGTAGCAACCCCAGAGAAGCAGCACTCCGCGAGGTCTGGCACCTCCCCAGCTCTTAGATGAGCCCAAGCCTGCAGCAAAAACTCACGATGGCCCGCTTCAATACAACAGCAGTAGCTAAAGCAGCAGCTGCAGCAGCAGCTGCTGCTATTGCTGTAAAAGTGCAGCAGCACAGTCAGCAACAGCAGCAACAGCAGCAACAGCAGCAACAAAAGCAACAACAGCAGCAGTTGCAGCATTACCCTCAGTGCTTCTTTGGGGTGCCTCTCAGGCGTAAAGGCAGGAATGGGCTCGGCTGCTGCAGCAACACGGCTGCTGTCTGTAACGACAAAACAGCAGCAGCAGACGCAGCAGACGCAGCAGCAGCAGCAAACACGGCAGCAGCAAACGCAGCAGCAGCAAAGAAGAAGCCAAGAATATATGAAGACGTGAGCTGTGTGTGCTGTCTCCCTTTCCTTTTGACT